AGAAGGGAAATTCCTCAATATAATTAAGGGCATTTATACAAAGCCAACAGCCAACATCATCCTAAATGGAGAGACTTTGAAAGCATTCCCCTTGAGAATGGGAACCAGACAAGGATGCCCTCTATCACCGCTCTTATTCAGCATTGTGCTGAAGTTCCTAGACAGAGTAATTAGTCTAGAAAAAGAAATAAAGGGCATCCAAATTGGCAGGGAAGAAGCCAAAGTATTGCTATTTGCAGATGATATGATCTTAAACACAGAAAACTCCAAAGAATCCACAATAAAACTACTGGAACTAATTGAAGATTTCAGCAAAGTTTCAGGATACAAGCTAAACATACAAAAATCAGTTAGATTCCTTTACACCAACAAAAAGAAACATGAAGAGGAATCAATACCATTTACAATAGGCCCCAAGAAGATAAAATACTTAGGAATAAATCAAACCACAGATGTAAAAGATCTATATAGAGAAAACTACAAGACACTACTTCAAGAAAGTAAAACAGACCTGCATAAGTCAGAAAATATACCTTGCTCATGGATAGGTAGACTCAACATAGTGAAAATGTCAATTCTACCCAAAGAAATCTACAGATACAATGCAATCTTGACCCAAATTCCACAGATATTTTTTAATGAGATGGAGAAAAAAATCACCAACTTCATATGGAAAGGGAATAGGCCCCGAATAAATAAAGCATTACTGAAGAAGAAGAACAAAGTGGGAGGCCTTACACTACCTGTTTTTCGAAACTATTATACTGCCACGGTAGTCAAGACAGCCTGGTACTGGTACAAAAACAGATACATAGACCAATGGAGGAGAGGTGAGAATCCAGATATAAACTTATCCACCTATGAGCAGCTAATATTTGACAAAGGCCCAAAGTCCATTAACTGGGGAAAAGACAGTCTCTTTAACAAATGGTGCTGGCAGAAGTTGATCTCCACCTGCAAAAAACTGAAACAAGACCCACACCTCACACCATGCACAAAAACTAACTCAAAATGGATCAAAGACTTAAATATAAAATTGAAAACAATGAAGACCATGGAAGAAAAAATAAGGACAATGCTAGGAGCCCTATACATGGCATAAACACAATACAAACCATATGTAATAATGCACAAACAACAAAAGAGAGACTAGATAGATGGGAGTTCCTAAAAATCAAACACTTACGCTCATCAAAAGACTTCACCAAAAGAGTCAAAAGACAACCTACAGACTGGGAAAAAAATTTTGGCTATGACAGATCCGATCGGCGTCTAATCTCTAAAATCTACAAGATACTTAAAAACCTCAACAACAAAAAGACAAATAACCCAATTAAAAAATGGGCAAATGATATGAACAGGCAGTTCACCAAAGAAGATATTCAGGCAGCTAACAAACACATGAAGAAATGCTCACAATCATTAGCCATTAGAGAAATGCAGATCAAAACTATAATGAGATATCATCTCACACCAACAAGGCTAGCCCTAATCCAAAAAACATAAAATAATAAATGCTGAAGAGGTGGTGGAGAGACTGGTGCACTTATACACTGTTGGTGGGAATGTACAATGGTACAACCACTTTGGAAATCGATTTGGCGCTTCCTTAAAAAGCTAGAAATAGAAGTACCATAGGATCCAGCTATCCCACTCCTTGGAATATATCCTAGAGAAATAATAGCCATCACACGAATAGATATATGCACACCCATGTTTATTGCAGCACTGTTCACAATAGCAAAAAGATGGAAACAACCTAGGTGCCCATC